TCTCCAATTCAACAGGTTAATCATTAATATTTGGAGGATTTTCTTGCCATGTTGTATTAGGAGGAGAACACCACCAGACAGACATTTAAATTGTTTTATTTAACTAAAACAACAAAGTTTTCTGGATTTTTTTCTTCAACAGCAAACATATAATATTTTAACAAAACAAGCATATGCCCCTCGCTTCTCTCATTTATCTCCAGACTTCTTCTCCTTGTCCAGATCTATTCCCCCCACAACAATCTTCTATTCATTGAATTTTTTGAAACTTCTAACTTTTAGAGAGAGGTAAGGGATTGACTCTGTGTATACAAATTTGCAGAGGGACAATAGAGTTGAGGTCTGTTATTTCTCACCTCTATATATTAATTTATTTATTTAAAAATGTTTTTGCTGTTAACAAGCATGTTACCTCTGGAGAGACAAATCCACAGTCTGATAACTGAAAAACTAAGCATCTCTGATGGTATCTTCTAGACTGAGCACAGAGTCCCATTGGGTAGATAGAAAAATTAACCTAACTATTCTATACAGAAGTCTGTGGAACCCCATAAGATTGGGTCCCTAATCCATGAACTATTGGAACTCATTTACAAAACTTCTTAAACATTACATGAATATATTGTCTCATCCTATAGAATTAGAATTTATAATCCCTATAATGTATCTTAATTCAAACTATCTTTAGATAGGTTTTTTTCCCCCTCAAAAAGTATTTTATCAAAAAAATCTGATTAAAAAAAAAAATTATTGATTTTTATCCACCTTGGGGACAGCCATGGCAGGGGAGACCCCCTCTTTCCCAACCCCAGCTCAGGAGCTGCCACAGCAGGGAAGAGAGGTAGAGACCCCCCTCCTTCTGAGCCCCAGTTCAGAGGCTGCCGCAGTGAGGGAGAGAGGGCACTTCTATCGCATTAGAAAGGTATATTTATATTATATATAAAGGTATATAATACGGATATTAAAATATGAGTTGTGTGCTTTTATTTGTAGAACAAAAAAAAAGTTTTATTATTATTAAGTTGGGTTTTTTTATATAGCCCTTTTATCCAAAGCGCTTTACAATAGTTAGCTAACGGTACAAACAACATTTGGAAGGATCATTAAGTGGTCCTCCGAGACCCTCAGCAATTTTCAAGTGGTCTGTGAAAAAGATAGTTTGAGAACCACTGCCCTACAGGACGCAGCACAAGATTGAAAGCCCTTATTTACTAATCCTTTCTCTGCCATTAATTCACTGTATGATGCTGGAAAAGTAATTTTACCTCCCAATGCTTCAGTTTCTCCCCTTCTCCCCACACAATTCCCACCATCTGTAAAATGGGGATAATGCTGCTTCCCACTGCTCAAGGAAGCAGAAGGAGATTAGCAATTGTTTACACAGTACTTTCAAGATGCAAAGCTCTATATAATATTACGTACCTTTCACAAATGGGTAAACTGAGGCCAAAGTGTATGTGATTTGCCCACTGTCCCATGGCAAGTTAGTTGTGAAGCCAGCAATAGAATCCCAGTGTATTAGATAAAGTTTTCACCCCTCTACACAGCAATTAAACACCCACTGCTAGCCCAGGTCAGCTGACTGGGGCTCAGGGCTGTAAAACTGTGGTGTACACATTCAGGCTTGGGCTGGAGCCCGAGCTCTAGGACCCCGCGAGGGGGGAAGTTCCTTGAGCCCAAATGTCTACACCACAATTTTACAGCTCCGCTGCCAGTTAGCTGACACAAGCCAGTCACAGGTGTTTAATTGCTGCGTACACATGCCCTAGGAGTTCTGGCTAGAACTTCCATGTTGTGTGCAGTAAACCACACTTCTTTTGAAGTCAATGAATATCAAACAAGTGCTTTAAATAGGAAGGAAAAGAGGGGAGACAAAGACAGGCCTGAACCAGGAAGAAATGCAGTGAGCATACTGTAAAGCACAAATGAGCTCTACAGAACATGCTCATTTATAGCTGGAAAAGACACTGGAGAATATATTGTTTGAAACAATCTTACATTTGCCAGGATATGAACTGGATGGTTTAAATATGCTTTTCCTATTTTCGATCCTATAGGGCTGATCGGGGCCTTTGATTTACTGGTTATCCCTTTACATTTTATTTCTTTTAAATTTCTTTGCTTCTTTTCATCTTTGTATTTTTTCTTGGTCCAAATGAAATAAATAAAATGCATATATTTTAATTTAGACATTCAAACTCTAGTGCTACAGTAATGGTAGCATTATGAATACACTGACATGCACATAGCGAGAAAAGACATAAGTATTGCTAACGTGGTGGGAAAAAGCACCTAAGCTCAGCTCCTATGCACTTAGAGCTCTGATTCCAACTAATGCGAATTCATTTAGGAATGGACTGAGAATCGAACAGCTGTACCACGCTCTCTCTACTACAAACACATTAGCCCCTATTCCAGTAACCCCCCCATTTTAGCCTCCAGTTCAGTCTACCTTTCAAGTGTATCCAAACCAAAGCCAAGGTCTCCCAATCTTGCCTTGATACTCCGTTTCCCTATTTCCATCTCCACATTTGCTTCCCCCTCTCCTGAATACAACTCAAGCTTCTTTTCATTTTCAAAGCCTTAATAATTTCATTCCCTGCCTGTGTCTCACTCCTCATTTCTGGATGCACCCCTTCTTAGATTGGATACTCTCTTGACTCCGCATTTTGGCTTCTTCTTGTACTTCTGACACTGTCACACTATCTCCTAAGTTTGCACAGTTCAATGAAGCCATGCATTCCTAAAATTATAACTATCCCACAAAGCGTTCCTCCTATAAGGACATCTCCCACACTTTGTTCTGTAGGGCACTACATTCTGATATTTTAAGATTAAAATTTCATCACAGCACAATCCACTTATCGCATATAGTTACTCAAATGTACATGGACCTGCTGTTAACAGCCGCAGACAAACACCTATCTGGACTCAGTATCCCTGCATAGAAGTCATAAATACAACAGTGGAGCACAGGCAATGCCAGTCCACAAACCACCACCGAACTTCATATAAACAGAACAGAGGGAACTAAATTAAAATTACTTGTCTAAGTAGTGGTAGGATTTACTCTTCTCTCAGAGGATCACCCAGTGCAGCTAAGATAGTCTCTAACAATTCTGATTTTCACAGGTCTGTCTTTGAGAGATGTTATAAAAATTCTGATGTTAGTTTGGGCAGGACCTTATTATAATTGGGTTGCAAGGCAAAGTTCACAATGTTGTGACAGGATGAACTTTATCTTGTAGCAAGTCTGTCTGTATTTTTAATGCCTTAATCGGCATGATATCTGGATGTCAGGTCTCTGCTACTAGAAGATAAACTAACTAGGGTGTGAAAAGCAGAGGACAACTAACTGTATAGCAAGGTTTGTAGGATACCCTGCAACTCTGGAATCATGTTAGCCCAAGAAAGAATCACAAAGCGGGACCCCAAGTGTGCAAGCTTTTAACCAGACTATAGTGTGAGAGAGGAGGTTTCTGTACCTGCTTTGCAGCAGCAGCTCCCTGGCCCTTTGCCTGGGGACTTTTCCTGGGTCTTCTCCCAAGCATGTTGGCTCATGAATCTCAAACAACTCTACCTTTAATGGACACAAAAAGAACCCCATGCATACATTGGTTAAGACACTGACATCCAACTGTGATACATGACAGAAGCCTATAAACCAACCTAATCCAATCTGAAAGGTGGGCATAGCAGCCTGTAGCCCCACAGATTACAGCTCCATACCAAAGGCTCCACCCTGTAACCACCCCCCAGGGTCACCATACCCAACCCCGTAACCCCCCCACCCCGGATTACTACATCCACTCCACAGAGCAGGGACACCAGCCTGTAACCACCAACCCATGGTTACTATACCCACCCAGACCAGCACCGCCCTGTAATCCCACACCAGGGATATTATACCCACCCTGCAGACCGGAGACACCACCCTGCAACACCCCCAAGTTACTAAACCCCGCCCCAGACCTGGAGCTGGGCACAGGAGCCTGTCCCCCCTCAGCCTGGGTTCTCCTCCCCCCCGAGCCGGGCACAGGAGCCTGTCCCCCCTCAGCCTGGGTTCTCCCCATCCCCCGAGCCGGGCACAGGAGCCTGTCCCCCCCC